TGCATTTAAAACAAAAACAGGGAAAAAAAAAAAGCAGGAAGTAAGATCAACTTGCTGTCAAGCACCAAAACACTGGAACCACTTCTGCCCAGCACTCCTGGCAGTAGAAATGCTTGTCAGCAGCTGCAGGGCAGAACCATACACCAGCTGAGCATGTCGAGGAAGGGTCTGAGCCTCAATGTGCCTCCATTTCTGAGGAACTGAGGCAAAATATGACACTGCAACAGCAAATCAACTAGGATAATGATCAGTTCCCTGTGGAGAAGATTTTTGCCCTCATACATTCTCGTTCCCTCCTCCTCAGAAGTAAATCAAAGGAAAAAGAGCTATTGATTATCTCAGTGGGCACAGACTGTAATATTTTCTAAATGTCAAGGGTCTAAGTTTCTGAAACCAGATCAGCATACTCACAGCAGGACTCTTCAAAGGAACAGTGGAAGGTACCAGAGGATTTGCAATCTCAGTTCTTTAAGCCTCAGCAGAGATCAGCTACACTCAACAACTGCAGACTTTTGTAACCATATTAATATATCCCTATTTATATCCCTATTTTTCTATCAGATGTTTCATCCATAGAATTCCTCAAATTCATTTCTAAATGCTCAGTCTGCTCCTTCAACTCAGAATAACCTAAAGAATGCGACAAACAAACCATACCTTCAAATGCATTCAAGGTTAAAATTCCTACTTTAAGCTTTAATAGCCATGAAAACATCTATCAGCCATAAAGGTACATCAGCAAATCTGTATAAAACCTCTGTGCAATACAGAAGACCTGAAGTTAGAGGAAAGCACATGCCTGGGGATGTTACAGAGACTCTACCACATGAGATGGTACCTTTTCTGTCCTCAAGCAGCATATTTTGCTGATGGTTTACCCTGATTTTTTAACTGCTGATTCCTACTACCAAATCCTGCCTTTAATCATTGGAATCAGTGGGACTAGACAAAAGACAGCTTTTTCTGGAGGAAGAAAGATTCTCAGCATAATAACAGTGCCTAATACTAATCCTAACAATAGCTGCAGCTCTGGCATTGTATGGAGTAATCCATATCATTTAATGACAGAGCTTAATGTGATTTAAATAATTCTACAGATCCATTTTTTGAGATTTTAAATAATTTTTCAATCATAATAAACAGAATAAAAATGGCTATAGGAAAACTGACTTCCCCTGTGTCTTTTGTGCTGAAAATGATTTAATGGTTCCAAAGTTTCAGCTGTGGAGATTCCATACACCCTTACGAGAAGATGATACCTGATCCTGAACATCAGCCACCACCACTGCACTCCTGATGGACAGAACTTTCTTTCATTGCTAAGAGAAACAACATAGACAGTGCAGATGACACATCTCTGCCAACCAACCAAGAATTTTTTAGCCATCGTAATCTTAACTGAAGAGGGGCTGCCTTACCTGCAAAATGTTGTATATTCCTCATAAACTGCTTCTTCTTCGGCTGCATTACCACACTGCTGGTGTTTTCTGTATCAAAATATAAATCAGAAACAAATCATAAAACTGTGAGGAGTGTCAGATTCACCAGTGGATTGTGCTGCCATCTGTAATGACCTCAAGAGGCCGGAGAAATGGGCTGACAGGAACCACCTGCAGTTCAACAAAGGGAAGTGCAAAGTCCTGCACTATGGGAAGAACAACCCCAGGCACCAGTATGTACTGGGGGAAAGCAGCTTGGCTGAAAATACCCTGGTAGTCCCGGTGGACACTCAGTTGACCATGAGCCAGCACTGTGCCCCTGCAGCAAAGGAGGTTGATGGTATTCTGGCACTTGTTAGACCACACCTGGAGTGCTGTGTCCAGGTCTGGGCTCCCCAGTATAAGGCTGACATGGGTATCGTGGAGAGAGAGTCAAGCAAAGGGTCACTAAGTTGGTGAAGGGACTGGAGCATCTCTCCTGTGAGGAATGGTGGAGAGAGCTATGATTGTTCAGCCTGGAGAAGGCTCAGGGGGTTCTCATCAATGCATTTAAATACCAGTAGGGAAGGTGTAAAGAAGACAGAGCCAGGCCCTTGTTAGTGGTGCCTAGTGACAGGGCAAGAGGTGACAGGCACAGACTGAAACACTGGAGACTCCATCTGAACACTGGGAAACACTTTTTCACTGTGAGGGCAACTACACACTAGCACAAGTTGTACAGAGAGGCAGTGAGTCTCCAGTCTTGAAGATACTCCGAAGTCATCAGGACAGCCTGTTCTAGATGGCCCTGCTTCAGCCTGTGACCTCCAGAGGTCCCTTTCAACCTCAACCATTTTGTAGTCTTTACATTCCCTTATCACTTGCTTATTTCTGCAAAGTTAGCGATTTCTGCACTGTGGGTATGAGCAGCAGCACTATTGGACTGTCAGCTGGCTCTGAGTTGCAGACATCTCTTGCAGCCCTGAAGACTGATCCCACTCCTCTGTTACACCATGCATACTTGACAAAAGAGTTGCTTGGCAATCTGAGAGGATGAGATCACTCACTAGTAGGTACAGAGAAGTGCATACCTTTGCCTTTATTGAGTTTGGGATTTCTGTACACAAAGCGATCCAAGAATCTCATTAATGTGAAATCCTGCAAAGGGTCACCAGAGTACTGAATGTGATTTCCCTGAAAGATGTGAAAAGCCAAAATCATTAAGGTCTTCATTTTACAAAGACAGCAACTAAACACAGAGGACTCTGTTCAAGAACAACATTAAACCATACTTTAAAAAGACAAAGACTATCATATCACATAACCCTCAGCAGGTTCTTAGTTTTGCAACTTCAGTGTTTTCTGAACTAAAAAACACCTTCACTTTGCTTCAGTGATGAACTGCTTTGCAATGTACTGTGCCAACAGCAGTTAATACTCAGCACCATTTGGATACCATAAATTAAAATGAAAAACAAGTATTTTAAATACGTATTTGTGTAGGTTTAATATTTTTATCACAGTACCACAACAGTATTAAAACAAGAATTTGTTCCTACAGTCACGTTTCCCACATTAAAAAAAAACCAAATTTCAATAAAAAGATGCAACAAAACTGTAATGAAGCTTTAAGAATCATAATATCCACAGTCCTACAAAGTTAAAACTTTTGTAAGCAGTCTCCTTTACACAAAGCATGAAAAGCTTTTTCCGTGAAAAGCTTGGCATCTGAGTGTATGGTAGAGTGCTATGGAGCTGCTAGTTACCCACAGAGTGCAAGGAGACTTTATAATGTATTTTTCTCAAACAGCAAAAGACAGCTAACATAAAAATCAAACCTGGAAGCCACAGACTAGAAAAAGCACTTACTTCTAGAATTGTTTTTGCGAATAGGGCCACAGACGGGTGAAAATGTTCAGAAAGCTGAAAAACACAAATCACTTTTATTTCTACGTCAAAAATAAATGCAGTCATTCCTCACACTGACATATCAGACTCGTGACAACACCACTGTGTGGTAAGCCCACTCTGTAACTCATCAGGTAACACAGACACGTGTAGCAGTGCAAGGCTGATGTGCTCTGCCCTTGCCTAGTACTTCAAGTTCTAATCTTTGGTTGCATTAAATAAATGCATTCTCACAATTTTATTTAACAATAAAAAGCTTCAATGATCAAAGCTGTGATCCAAAAGTCAAAAAGTACTATTATTGTCTAAATCTCCACTTAAAAATTCCTATTCCCTATTCCAGAATATCAGCATTGTATGGAGCATATACAAGCTTAGAGCTGAACAATGTGTCAGCTTTAACCTTTTCTGTTATGTTACCCAGGTAGCTACTCCAAGACTAACCAAGTTAATTTTCTTCTCTTAATACAAGGACCACACTATGAAACACAGTAATCAGCAACATAAGAACACTGTACCTTCTTCAGTTCCCAAAGGCTTGTACTTTCAGCACCACAGTATAAAGGACTTCGGTGCATAGGATCATACGAAGTTCCACTCTTCCTGCCTGAGGGGAGGAGCAGAGGAAAACAAATTTTCTCAGGCAATTTTATGGAGCATTATGCTCATTTCACCGTGACATTAATGCTGCCTGTTGTTCTTAGTTGCCCAGGCCACAGATTCACCCAGCAGCAGGTAAAGGCTATGTGCAGCTGCCCTTCACCAGTGTATGACCAGGTGCACAGGCTGAGTTCTACATGCTTCCAAGGAAAACCCCTGAAAACCCCTGCCCTGTTCCAAAAGGTCTTCAGGAAGGAGTGAAACTGGGCACAGGTTCAAAGCTAGATGAATTGAAGTTCTAGCAAGCTGCCTAAGCAAATGATCACTTACACATCCTAACCCTGTCTACATTGCTTGGAAGGTGTTTGAACATGGAAGCAAAAAATTCCAAGCCCATCTATTGCTAAGGCACAAATTATGTCTTTATTACAAACAAGTATTTGTTCATTACAAACTGCAAAAACTGAAATACACTAGTCATAGTGTCTCTTCATTGCTGCTGAGCTAACAGATGAATTATTCTGACTGATTGCTTTCAATCACACTTCCAATTTAAAAACTGAAATAATGTTTTAATCACTTATTCTTACAACAACCCCTGATCAACATGTCACTGATATGGAATGTTTGATGTTAAGGGAATTACATTATCTTGCTAATTTACCTCCCATATTCAGATGATGCACCCACGAGGCTGTTGATTTTGAAGTGTTTGTTTTATCAGGCAATTCAGTTTGTTTTTCCACGGTGCTCCTCTCTTCACCTTCGACTTCTTTGTCTGCATCCACAAATTTTTCCTCAGCCTCTTCAGCCTCTTCTTGATCCTTAAAGCACTCTTCATCATCTGAGTCCTAAACAACAAAAAAATCTCAGAAAACAACCTTTCCTTCTCACATTTATTCTGATTTTTTTTACAAAATGCACACATAGTTCTTAAGCCAGATACAAAAACCTAAATAAATGATGGGCAATGTTCAAGCAGTACAGAATTATGTCCTCAATACAGGACTTAAAATTGAACTTTACAGTTTAGAACACACAAGTGTAATGGTTCCTCCCCACCTGAAGAAATGTAAAAAAAAATCCAACCCTGCTAAGCCACACCTCAGAGACTGCAGAGAGAACAAATAGACCTTTGTCTTGACAAAGCTTTTGAGTGAAGACTGTTCACCTGCTTACTTACACAGCATTTAGCAAAATAACCCTCTTTCCATGGATGAAGTCCACAGGACCTTATGAATGCTTAAAACACCTTCTTCATCCATGCAGATCTTTAATGTAGCTTTAATTGTTCAAGTGCTTTCTCCCATAACATAACATGTTAGCAAACCCTCAGGTTACTAATAAGACAGGCTGGGGAAAGGTGCTTATGATAACAGCTCTTACTGAAAAAAACAGTGAGATAAAGAAATCATTTTATACCACACGATCCTGTAACTGGACCCTTAGCTCAGGTTTCACTTTCAGAAGCTCAGACAGAAGGTACAGGGTCCCACAAATGAAAGGTGGCATTTGTCCACAAGTGACTTGAAGCAACCTCTTCACAAATGCCTTCACACGCCGCAGCACCACGTCTGCCTTCAGAGATTTATAGACAAGATTAAGAAACATGGATGGCTTTGAGCAGGTTGCTAAAGCAGGATCTAGAAGTTTCCTGTAGAACACACAGGAGAAAAATATTGCTGATTGTTGTAATGCACACAGGAGAACAACTGCTATCAACAACAGCTATCTGACATTTCTGCAGACTGCCACCTAACAGACTAGTGACAGCATGTTCCCCAACACTCAAAACCATGACAAAACCATAAAACCACAAAACCATACAGTGAATCCTGAACTGTCAACAGCTGTGTAATATTTCTGGATATATATGAGGCACTGAAGATTAAAAAACAAAAACACCTGCATCAGTAAACAAAAAATTGTCAGAAATAATAAAGAAACTTGAGTTCAACTGAAAACCATTTCAAAATCTGAAGTATTCAAAGTAAGATGCTAATCTGATTGGCTTTCCAACTACACAAATTAAAGCATCTAGAGAATTTGATAACATAATACTCCCCCTCCTCAAAATAAGAAAAAGACAAAAAGGAAACAGGATTTTAGGCTATTTATAGGCTAGTACCTGTAAAAGCGTTTTCAGAACAGTTATCAATTAGCTTCAAATAACATCTGGAATTAAAACATGCCATCAGAAAAGAGTGGCAAAGGATGAAATGCACATGTGTTCTTAGGACCTACCACTACCTTTTGTTTTATCCCCATGTTAAGTCAAAAAAAAAAAAAAATCACATTAATTTTCTTCTAGATCATACCAGACAAGGAGACACACAACAAGCAGGATCTTAAAGGCAAAGTAAGTGGTTCTATAACTTTAAAGTAATGGTGACTACCTCATAAAATGAAATCTACATAAAAAATGCAAACCTGCCACTTACTTGTACAGTGCTGCATAGTACCTATCCGACACGGTCTGCTCAGAGTCCATCACTTGAAACAGCAACATCAGGGCCTGGACACTGGTACTGAAGTTCACAAGATGCAGAACTTTAAACAACGTGTTCATTTGCTCTTTCACTTTGTCATCATCAGCCTCAGCGTAAGGATAAGCTCTGTTTACCCCGCAAAGAAGAGCACTGAGCATTTTGGATTCAACATCTTTTTTCTGAATACAGTTCCGAAAGAAGCAGAAGTACAAAGTTATCAGCTTGCTAGCCAGTGCACTTTCTTCGTGGCTGAGGACTATTTGATTTAGAAAGCAAACGGCATAATACTGAGTTTTCACATGGATGTTTGACCGGAACAAGAGCCTCTCCACCTCACTGCACACTACTCCCTTCATATTTGGGTGCTTGTGAAGCAATGTCTCTAAAAGGTAAGAGGCTTTGGTGGCAATCTTGTTTTGAGGGTCTCCCAGTTTATTTACCAGTAGAACCAGCAGAGCTTTCTCCTGTTCGGGTTTGTTACAGAGGAGCTCATGGGCAGCTGCCAGCACTCGGGATTTTGTGGCTATCAGACAATCATGGCTCAGTGTTTCCAAGGCCTGCACAAACTCTGCTATCTGCAGTTTCAGGTGATGCTCAAAGTACCACAGTACCAACCGTCTGTCTCTTGAATCCCTGTTGCCACTTGACATCTTCACTATGTTGTTGAACGGTCGCTGCGAGAAGGACAACAATTTGCGATTGTCTGGTAAGATATCTAAAATGAGAAGCTCCTTGAAAGTTTCCAAAGCCATGAAGCTCTGCTGCCTGCTGCCCTTTTTCTTTATGAGGTTTACCAAGTTCTCAACAAACTGGAGACTGTGGACAGCACTGTCCTGGATGAGCAGGGTCATGGCTGCCATCCTGTCAGCCATGGTGCCCGAGGACACAACAGTTTTCATCCAGGCTGAAGAGGCTCCTTTCTGATAGTCTGTCTTATTCTTGAACAGGTCTATCTCATGCTCATACAGCTTTTGGGCCAGGGCCTTATACTTGGACACAAGCACCTTATTCTGTGGCTCTGGAGAGGACTCATTGGTGTATTCCATTTCATACCACTTGCCCCCTGGTTTGATCAGGATCATTTGCCTAGCATGAAATTCAAAATCTTCCTCCAGCTTTTCTTTCTTTGCTGAAGGGTGCTGGCCCTGATCACTACCAGCCTGCTTCTTCTTGCTGTCTTTCACACCACTTGCCTTTTCCTTGACTTTTTTGTCCTTTTTCCCCTCTGGCACAGGAGGGTCAGTTTTCTTCTTGCTTTTCTCTTTCCTTGAAGGCTTGTCCTCCTCACTGTCTCCATCATCCTCATCCCCCTCCACCACCTGGCAACTCTTTGCATACTTGCTGAGCCCCAGGGAGCTGACGAATGCCTCCAGCTCCCCTTCCTTCAGGTCATCGATCGTGTCCTTCTTCCCGCCGTCCACCATCTCGTCTGCCTCGTCCACGGCACACAGCATCAGGTAATCTTGCTGTGGACAACAGTGCACAGCAGTTACAGGTGAACCTGGTGCGAGGTCACACACTCCCAAGGGCTCCCCTCGGAATCATGGCATGGTTTGCATTGGAAGGGACCTTAACGACCATCCAGTTCCAATCCTCCTGCTATGGGCAAGGGCAGCTGGTCACGCCAGGTTGCTCAAAGCCCCATTCAGCCCGGGCTGGAGCACTCTCAGGGACAGGGCACCCACAGCTTTCTCTGGGCAACCTGAGCCAGCGCCTCACCACCCGCTGAGCACAGAACTTGCTCCCAACAACCGCGTGGGAACCCACGCGGGTCGGTCCCCCCTGGCCGCCACGTGCTTCCCTC